TGTGACTTCCCACGCACAGCTCTGGTGTTGGACTGAGTCATATTTGATTGAGTCAAACTGTGCTTCAGATGTCTGGTGTGAGAATGAGAAGTACAAATGCATCACTACAAAGTCACAGGCCTTCACTGAAAATTCTAATTCATTTCATGTGGGAGAGAGAGAGAAAAGAGGCGACACGATTTATGAAGTGCGAGGAGAAATAACATTAGTCTTTTCTTTGTTGATGGAACATGATGTGAAAAATGTCCTCTCTGCAGTGTCGCTGACAGCAATTAGCCGGCAGCCACGAGAGACTGGTGGGAGTTTGGAGGAGTGATGAAATATATTAGACTCCACAATCTGCTGTGGTGTAAATATTTTCACTGCTGAGAATCAGTTGGGTCTTTTGGTACGTTGTAGGGTTGAAAAGCATGTTGGATAATGATGGAAGAAGAGGTTCTTATTTAAACTGCGCCAGCACTCTCGGAGCTGAGATCAAAGACTTTCTAATGCTGAGCTTTCAGTTTGATCTCCATGTTAACTGCTACTGTGGCAGCATGATTTAAAACCAGGGATCGGAAATGTTTGATCGTTGGTTCCGTTAAAGAGAGACGGCTACACTTTATTTTCAGGAATGACATTTGCCAGATAAACACACAGGTGCTCATAGTGGTGATTGTGTGTGTGTTTGTGTTTCCCTTTTCCCGGTCTCAAAGGTCAAGTAGGTGAACTTTGCTACTACAGACAGAGCGGTGCCCTTTGTGGTTTTTATTCTGAGATGCTGTAAACAAACAGACAGGCTGGAGCGTTTGTTAGGACTGTAGCTGCCTCCACGCACGAAGCGATTCGTTCCTCACGTATCGTTTTGAAGCTGACGGCGGACTTTCCAAGCTGCTGTTGCCTGGGTGACCCTCTATTACAGGGGTATTAAACTAAAATTTGAGGAGGTCCAGTTGGAGAAAATCTTCTCAAGCAGAGGTCCGGGACATCATAATGTCTAACTTACGTTATGATTGTGATAGAGAAGCAACCTTTTTTTTTTTTTTTTAATTTATATCTGAACGTATGAACAATAGACTGTCAAATCAATGAAAATACAAGTTAAAACATTTCAACAAAATTTATTGTTAACACTGAAACACACAGTAGGCCTACATTAGAAATAGGGCTGCTGTTTAAAATGAATTAGAGAAAATAAATAAAATGGCTAAATTGTGCATCTTAAAACAAAGTGCTTAATTTCAGAAAAAAAAAGTTTCCCTTTTTCTTTACATTTTACATCTCGACTAAACAGTCTCAATACATTTTCAACAGATAACATCAAAACATTTTAACAATTTTACAGTTTCTCTTTCTTTCACCCTTATATTCCACGTCCCAACTTTCTGTTGTTCAGTGAGAGAACTGAGCTTTAGTTCGCTCTACTAGGATTTTAAATCTGGGCTGGAATGGTGTCAGGGCCATTCTCATACACATGTGTAAGTGCTCATTGGTGATCCTGGAACGATATTTAGTTTTTATTATGTTCATTGTGGAGAAAGCTGCCTCACAGCTGTATGTGGAGCCAAACATGGTCAAGATGTACAGGGCTACTTTCCTCAGATTTGGGAAAGCTGTCTCAGAGACCAATTGGGGCCAGAAAGTGGCAGGTTCAGTTCTTCCAAACTGCTCTTTCAGGGCCACATCTGCTTGGAGATCAATTAGTTGCATTTGAAGAGGCCCAGCATTTGCCCACTTGAAGTGCTGTGTGACTTCCTTTGAGAACCCTCTGACATCAGTGATGGCAAATGGGTTCTTTACGAACATGGTGAGCTGCTGTCCAAAGCTGAAGCTATCAAAACGTTTGCTGAAGTTTTCAATCAGCTTATCAACAAAGTCAACAAAAGAGGACACATCTCTCTGTCCCTGAGCCTGTTCCTTCACTGTTGGGAAGTGTGCATAGTCTCCTTGCAGGTCTTCTTTGAACACTTCAAGTTTCCTCTGAAAGCAGCGGACAGCTGTCATCAGTTCACAAATTGAATTGTCCTTGCCCTGCAGCTTCAAATTCAGTTCATTCAGGTGTGAAGTGATATCAACCAAAAAAGCCACAATATCCATGTTTTTCCCATCATTTAAAAAGAGAGAAAAGTTTGTTGCTTTTTGACTTTCCAGCTCTTCCAAGAAAGCTGCTACTTCACTTCTGATGGACCAAAATCGCTCCAATGCCCTGCCTTTGCTAAGCCATCTCACATTGTTGTGAAGCAGAAGATCATCAGCGTGTGCATCAACTTCTCTGAGAAATTCCCTGAGCATGCGATGCTGACAAGAAGAAGATGCCCTGAGAAAATTTATCATTTTCATCATTGTTTTCATCACCTCAGCATACTCGTCTGACAGGGTGGAGCATAACACTGACTGATGAATAATGCAATGATAAGAGATTAGCTCGGGATTGTCCTCTTTCATTCTTGCTACAGCTCCTTTCTCTCTCCCCATCATAGCAGGGGCTCCATCTGTGGTTATTGAAACCACTTGGTTTGGCTCTATTCCTCGCTTTGTTAACATTTCCTTAATGGCCAGGTAAATATCCTCTCCTCTTGTAGTGCTGTGAAGGGAAGTTACACCTAGCAGGTCTTCACAGAACTCTTTCTTATCATTGTTGAAGAACCTTACATAAACTAACAGCTGAGCATTGTCAGACACATCAGTGGACTCATCTACAGCCAAGCCTACACGTGGTGTCTTATGAATAGCTTCTTCCAGCTGGGATAGCACATCCTGAGCTAATAATTCACTTCTCTTTGTGGCTGTTGATGCTGACATAGGTATTTGCTTTATTTTGTCATGAAGCTCTTCTTTTTGTTTACCCTCAAGTAATGTTTCTGCTACTGCACTCATGCACTCTTTGACAACACCTGCAAAGGGCTTTTTGTGTTGACCTAAAATCCAAGCAACTCTGAGGGAACATTCATGAGCACGTTGTTGGGCGGTGAAAGAACTGGTTAAGATCCTTGTGGACTGATCATATTGGGCTCTGAGACTGCTAATTTTCTGGGACCTGAGTTCAGACTTGGGTGGGTATGATTGTTCAAAAGCTTTGTGCTTTGTCTCATAGTGGCGTTTGACATTGCCACTTTTAATCAGTGCCACGGTTTCTGAACATATGAGACACACTGGTTTGCTGCTTGCGGCCGGAAGAATGAACATATATGCGTCAGTCCATTCAGTCTTGAAAGTTCTATTTTCAGTGTCTACTTTTCTCTTTTTTGAAAGCGCCATAGTTGTTTTACCTCTTGTGACTCCCGCTCACGTCTTGTCTCACTGTATCGTTAATCGTCTCGCTTGTCATTCACCTCTCACCATGTCTTTCCTCTGTCTGTTAGTGATGGGTCGTTCGCGAACGAAATGGCTCTTAGAGCCGGCTCTTTGACGTGAACGACGCGAGCCGGCTCCTTATCGCGAGCCGTCACGTGGTTTTTTTTCTTTTTTCTTTCTCTCAGCCTCTCTCTCGCACTTTTTTTCCGCTTCACTCTGCACGCGAGCCTTGTGCTTTACGCTGGGCAGAGGGGGGAGGGGCGGTAGTTACACTCAGTAGCACAGGAACAGAGCCAGAGAGAGAGAAAGAGAGGCAGGGACAACAACATTAGAAAGGTATAGTAATCATCCACAACTATTTTCGGTTGCAGATGATAAAGGATTGAGAAAGTTTATTCATGCAGGTCCATATGACAGAGAATATGCATGTTCTTTTAGTTTTCATATTATAATTTATATTTAATTGTGTTGTGGTTTGCAGTGTTTTGTGTTCTTTTCACTTTAAATTTGTGAAAGGAAAAAGCTGAAAATGTAAATAGTTAAAACTTGAAATGTGAATAGTTGATTTTTGTATTAGATGATTTATTTATTACATTTTATGTGGAGTGAATAAATAAAAGTATATTTACGGTGGCCCCTAGAGACAAAGCACATACAAACTTCAAATCACGTACGAACTCTGAAGCATGTACAAACTCCAAAACACGTAAAAACACGTACAAACTCCAAAACACGTAAAAACTCCAAAACACGTAAAAACACGTACAAACTCCAAAGCACGTAAAAACTCAGAAGCATATAAAAACTCAGAAGCACATAAAAACTCAAAACACGTACAAAAGAACAACAGAAGTGCTCCAGGATGCTGGGCGCAGTGTTGAGCCTTTGTTATCTTGTGGCTACACAAGCCAGCAAGTACCAATGACCGGATTTGGTGTGTGGTAATAACAGGTAAATGAACTTTTTTTTAAAATTATTTGAATATATATATGAGTGCCTGTGTATAAATACACAAACAATACACACATGCTTTCAATTGTGTAATTTAAGTGATCTAGTAGCTCTGCTTTGGAAGTTCAGTTCATGCTAGAAATGTGTTTTGGAGTTTGTACGTGTTTTGTCTCTAGGGGCCACCGCATATATTTATATATAAACATATATAAATAAAACCACTTGTTTTTACGTTAGTAATTCCTTTTGTGCATAATTTTATATTATTGTTAATAATAAATTAATTAAAGCAACAAAACAACCTCCGGTTCGGAGCCGAAAGATCCGGGTCTTTTTAGTGAGTCGAACCGAAAGAGCCGGATCTCTAAAAAGAGCCGGAAATCCCATCACTACTGTCTGTCTGTGTCTGCACTCAGAGTTGCGATCGCCTTGAATGCGCAGATGTGATTGGCTAAGTAGTGTCACGTGGGTGGCTTAACTCGCACACAATTGGTTTGTATGTTCCCTGGTCTAATACAATGTAAGGTTACCGCTTAAAATTGAATCGCCCCGTCAAAATTAAATATAATTTAATATTTTGTTAACTATAGGTCCGGGTCCATATAGGATGGCGACTGGGTCCGGACTCGGACCCCGGTCCGCCTGTTAGTGACCCCTGCTCTATTATATTTACTACCAGGTCATGTGTCAATCAACGGCATTCTTCATTCTCATTCGTTGTCACTTTTCAGTTGCCGGCCTGGAAGTTGAGCAAAGTTAAATCGGGTCCCGCCCACTTCCCCCTTTCGCTCGCAGTTTCTGTTTTCTCTGCAAATCGTTACCAGTGACCATTTTTGCCAGATAAAGTGGACAATGGCAGGATTAGACTGGACTTATGGTGTTTCCACTTTACGTCAATGGGAAGTAAGTTTATTGAAATCGGCGGACTATTTAGGGAAGTGATTTCTTTTCCTGCAAAGAGTTAGATGAGAAGGTTAACACCGCTTTTGACAGTAAATATAGTGGTAAATATTTTGTATAGCTACAGACAGGATTTGGTTTGATACATTATTGTGAAAAAGTCTTGATTAGGGTTGCTAACTTTTAAACTATCAAATAATGGAGACTCTGGCGTGCACAGCCAGCTGGGCATAGTGTAAATATGCACTGTGTGTTCATATTCTTACAGTAAAAATACAGTAAAACTTTGGCATTCGGTTAATCAATACCTCATCTAAATCAATAAAGAAAAATGCAGTAAATGATGACAGAAATCACAAACAAGCAAAAAATAAAAAAAATATTCAAATCAAATACTGCAAATACAGGCATCAATTAGCCAGGTTTCTATGCTACGGAGACCAAACGGAGTCGTAATTTTACGAATCACGCATTACTCCTCATACATGTTGTTCGTCAGGGACCGTCACTAACTGGGCACAAACACTATAAAACACTCGCCTGATACAATTGCAGTCAAATCAGATTTAATATTCGTAAGGTCAATATATTATATTTTGCTCATTATACGGGATGTTCCGGCTAAAACGGGACAGTTGGCAACTATAATCGTGATCCACATCTCATTTCTTTATGCAGTGCTGTAAAAAAGTTTTTCTTTTTTGTCCATATTTGTTACACTTAGTTCAGATCATCAAACAAATTTCAATATCAGACAACAGGGTTGTGGCCAAGCAACTCACAGTTGTTCTAGATGAACATAACATTCTTGATAAATTTCAATCTGGCTTTCGTAAGGCTCACTCTACCGAAACTGCACTTCTTAGAGTGTCTAATGGTATTTTGATGAATTGTGATGCTGGAGAGTGCACTGTTTTGATGTTGCTGGATCTGACCTCTGCTTTTGACACTGTTTATCATCTTATTTTGTTAGATAGATTAAACCACTGGGTGGGCGTATTGGATACCGCATTGGAATGGTTTAAATCCTATTTGTCAAATCGATCTTTCTCTGTGGCTGCCTCTAAGTTCAGATCCTCCGTCAGCTCTCTTGCCTATGGGGTGCCTCAGGGCTCTGTCTTGGGACCGTTATTGTTTTTGTTGTATTTACTCCCTCTTCTGCAACTTCTTAGCTCTTTCTCTGATATTTCATATAATTGTTATGCAGATGATATTCAGCTATATATCTCTTTTAGGCCACCTGATGTTTCTAAGCTCCAAATCTTGCAGTCCTGCTTAGATTCCGTTAGAGAGTGGATGGCTGGTAATTACCTTCAACTAAATGCTGATAAAACGGAAGTCATTGTCTTTGCTCCTGAGAAATTTGTTCCCCACGTGGTTAATAATATAGGCCCTTTTGCTTTTTATATTAAATCCTCCATTAGGAACCTTGGTGTTACATTTGATCCAGCTCTGACGCTGGACACACACGTTAAATCTTTGGTTCGCTCTTGTTTTTACCATTTAAGAAATATCGCTAAGCTGAGTCCCATTGTGTCACGTTCCGAATTGGAAATGATTATTCATGTTTTTGTTTCATCTCGCTTAGACTATTGTAATTCCTTGTTTACTTGCTTAAGCAATGCCTCCCTGGAACGACTGCAGGGTGTTCAAAGTGCTGCTGCTAGGCTTCTGATAAAGCATCACAAATACTCCCATGCCACTCTCCTGCTGATTCAGTTGCATTGGCTCCCTGTCAAGTTCAGGGTCCATTTTAAGATCATAATCATGACCTATAGGGCCCTGCACGGTGTAGCTCCAACTTACATAAGTGATCTTCTTCTTCCTTATCACCCCAGCAGGTCCCTGAGGTCTTGTGACCAGGGGTTGCTTGTTGTCCAGCATACAAGGTTAAAAACAAAAGGTGACAGAGCGTTTGTATCAGCGGCTCCCAGACTCTGGAACTCGCTCCCTTTGAGTTTGAGATCTGTGGACTTAATGTCTGTTTTCTGCCTTTGTAAAGCACTTTGTGATTTTATCTTGAAAGGTGCTATATCAGGGGTAGTGCCATTTAAAATTTCCTCAGAGGTCAGTGTGCCATATGATTGCATTAGCAATAAATTTAATAACGCTCTATATGAACAGTTACACACTATCTATAGAACCACTTTATAGAATTATATTTGTTTGCAGATGTTGGCAGCTATCAGCAAATAGTTATCAGCTATTTTGAAACAAAAAAAGACTTTTTATCCATAACATCAAATGAACTGTACAACAGAAAATACAAATGCTATTTATGGCCTCCTCACAACAATGATAAGAAAAATAAACTAAGCCAATATGGCATGTTTGTTAATACAGAGACACACATGTTATGTGATCTCTGGTCTCCGAGTGTCCAGCATTCAGACGGCTACCTGAGGACTCATGTGAGAGAAAATCTGCTCACACAGATATTTAGAGCCAAATACTGTCAATAAGGCCTCTGCAGTGTTCTGAAGACAGTTAAACTTGTCAGGTGTAGTGATGTCCAGCAGGTGAAAATGCAAGCTCCATGAACACACACAGCTGTGGATTACAGCTGCTTCGATGTCACATTAACTGGCATTAACTCAGCCAGTTAATGCGAGACAAATCTAGCTGCTCATTAAAGATTTCTGGTTTGTTCAGAAAATAAAACATTGGTCCATACACCTGAAAGTCCCAAAAATGCATTGTGTCTCGAGCCTACGGATGTATCCGTGTATTTCCGTGGTGCTGACACTGTGCTGTACAGTATTTATTCTAGCTAAGGTAACCAACCTTACGTTTTCCCCATTTGGCTCATCCTTGCTTCATGTTAGCTACTTTATGCTAGCTAAAGTAGTTGACTGCTGGATCTTACTTGCTTCATTCATTTTATGCTAGCTCAGGTAAACGTAGTTTGCTTCATGCCATCTATTTATTCTAGGTACGTAATAAACCTTATAAAAGATGGACCTAACTACTTGGCCACCTTTTTTAAAGTTATAACAGTTATAAAAGTCCTGTTTTGAAGCTTAGTGCTGAGAACTTTTACCGCCGCCATCTTGCTGTTTGAAAACTGGATGTGACCAGCATGAGGCAGAAGTGATTGTGAAACTGCTAACAACTTATTAATCACAGGTCTTTAGTCAATGAGGATACCGTGACACTGAGACTGACCGGCATGTATAAAATGAACATGTTTTATACACCATGAGGTGAAATGATTGATTTGAACTCATAAACTCATCAGGAAGGTCAAGGCAGAGGGCCATTTTTCTCATTGTTATATAAGCCTGAGGTCAGTCACAGCGATCGGGCTTTGATGGTCCTTCAAAATGATGCAATTGTTTTCATGTTGGATTCACTTTTCAAAGATAGAAGTCAGTTAGTCGTCACTCTAATTTGTTGTTTCTTAGTCCGCAGATTATGAGCCTTCACTTCCTGTTTCAGAGAAGTCTAACCCCCTGACATGTGACATCGACCGAGCTTCGGCCTATAGCATTGTGAAGATGTTACAAGTTTGTGATTCCCAGATGTTCCAGAAAGAGGCAGGAACGACCTACCAGGTATATCAGTACTAGCCTTCATGATGGGAAAATGTATTCTCAAAATTTCCTTTTGAGAATTTCTTTCTTTAAATCTCATTTCAGAGGCTTTTGAGTGACCAAGTGTTGAAAACCTTAATGGAGGTTGCTAAAAGGGTCGAGGTCATAATAAAGGTGCCTTTTTTTTCTCCTCCCTCAATATTTGGATCTGTATTTGCGTCGGTCAGTCGGGCATAGGCTATTGTGCCTTCTGTGTCTTTAACAGGATCCTCAGGAGAGCTGTGTTGTGATGAGCGGTTGTGGCACTTCTGGTCGGCTGGCTTTCCTGATCTCGGTAAAAGTTGTCCTGAAATACTCTCTGCGCTGTTCAGGCTTCTGGAAAGCGTATCAGTTACTTTCATAATGGAAAATCAAGTGCACAGTGAGCCAGAGCAGAACGAAACAGACCCTGCCAGTAATATGAGGAAAATGGCTCTTAATGAAATTATGTGATCAGATCTCTCTTGCTCATGGAAAAAAAATGCTTCCTGTATTGTGTGTTTATTGTCTGTTTGTGTTGTTAGTCAGGCTTCAACAAAGCACTGAGTCAGCTGAACCAAAGTGAAGTGTATTCATACATCATTGCAGGAGGAGACAGGTGAGTTGGGGTTGTGTAAACAGAATATAACCAGCAGCAATTTTTTTGCTTGATTAAAATCCTGTAATTAACCTGACATATGCACACATACATGTTCTGGTATCATGTCCTCAGAGCTCTGCTTTCCTCTCAAGAGGCTCCTGAAGACGACCCCAGACTGGGCGTGCTCAGTCTGAAGAAGGTCTGGGACATCCTGGAGTGTGTGTCTTGTGTTTTGTGAGAGCATTTTGACCACAGCATGTTGTTCTCTGCAGGTGTGTGAGGGAAAGAAGCGAGTCTTGTTCATTGGCATTTCCTGTGGACTGTCTGTAAGTCAGCCTCAGCTCTGAGGTCAGAGTTTGAATAGTGTATAGCAAATAAGGTTTACCTTGCTCATACCTGAGAAACAATTCAATCTGCAGGTAACTCGAGATCAACCTTTTGAGTTTTGGCGTTCACAACTCTTAACTTCTCGTGTGTGCGATTTCTGCCCCCATAGGCTCCATTTGTGGCAGGGCAGCTGGATTTCTGCTTGCAGCACCCTGAAGTCTACACACCTGTGCTGGTTGGCTTCAACCCTGCACATCAGGCCAGGTACAGGACTTTAAATATTTGCAATGAATGTATGATATGTGATAAGTTGTGAATAAATATCCATTTTGTCTTTGAAACAAACTGTCTTTATGTATGTAGAGATGAGCCCATACAAGACTGCACCTTCACGTTTCACAGTGTGGTACAAAGGATGCAAGAACTTGCAAAAAGCCAGAAGGCCTTCCTCATTAACCCAGCAGTTGGGGTACTTGTACCTTTTGAACTTGATGCCCTACACATTACGGTCGATGTGCATTTATATTCAAAAAAGTAAGTGAGCGGTGTGTTTATGATTGGCTGGTGACTGTGTGTGTCTGTTCAGCCCGAAGCCATCAGTGGGTCCTCCAGGATGAAGGGAGGCAGTGCAACTAAGATTCTCCTGGAAGTTGCCTTCTCTGCTGCTCATGCTGCCACTTCCTCCAACACACCTATCACACATAAGTAAGCTGGAAGACATATGTCATGTGTCATATGCCATGTAATGTCATGAACATGCTAACTCTTGGCATGTTGCTGTTGCAAGTGTGCCACAAGATTAGCTAAAGGGACAGAAAACTTACAAACATACAGTGCAGCACTTCAGAGTCACACTGCTAGTGACCAATGATTTATGTAAATTTGACAAGCTGAACACATTCTGTACTGCACTGGAAGCACGGCACGGAGGAGATTGATTGACAATGGTCTACAGCCAATCAGGACGCAGAACACAACGTGCTGTCAAAAAACCCCAAAAAGCAGCATGCAAAATTGCCCCCAAAAAATCTGCGAGACAGCGAGGCTGCGAAAAGTGAACCGCGTTACAGCGAGGGACCACTGTATACCTACTTCAAAGTGGCCTACAAGTAAGGATTTAGATGATGGTGCCACTGGTTCATATATTACCAGTTACATATTAAAGCCTTCCTTAGGCCTGGGGGATGAACTGCCGTGTTTCTCATCTGCTAGAAATTCCTCAGTCTGTGTCATTTGTTTGACAGTTTATGTTTATGGAAGTTTCCTGTGTTGCAAAGAAATTCTACTAAGTGAAACAATAGATTTCGATCAAATACACAGACCACATAAATAACCACATAAATAACCACATAAATAACACAAGCTTTAAGTGAGCATACATTTTGGACTAGGCCTAGTCCATCTAGTGCAGCGTTTCAGAACCGCACCACCAAACAAAAATGTCACAAAAAGCATATTGATAATTTTTCCCCTCACACCAGGCATAGCGGAATTGGCTCAGTTTGTCCCCAGTATACCTTTTTTGCTTTCTTCTGATCAGCACTCATGCTAGGGCCTTCATCTGGGTCGGAGTTTTCTCCAGGACCCAGGTCAGACTGGCTACTTTTTCTTTTCAAATATTTATCTATTGCTATTATGCGCTGCATTGTCTCACTATTATGTAATTTCTTCTTCATCTTCTTCTATTTTACTGGCAGTTGGCAACCCATTCAATTAGAGCAGGTAGTTGTACTGCCCTCTAGTGGAGGAGAATGTAATTGTTCTGCCCGTTATTCACGCCAGTCGCTTAGAGTAGCGGTCCCCAACCCCCAGGCAGAGACTGGTCCGTGAGTCGTTTGGTACCGGGTCGTCTGATACCAGGCTGTGAGAGTCGAGACTCGGGTGTGAAATTTATGGTTTTCAGGGTTTTTATAGGTTTTTATCATTTTTGATTGATTGATACTGATTGGAAGACTATACAAGAACAGCTGAACCAAAATAGTTTCATGTGTATTTAAGAAAATAATAAAAAGACAGAATGTACAGTTACTTCTGGGTCTCCATAATAACCCAACTTTACTCACAATAACTCACATTGTGTGCTTGTCAGTTGCATGTATCAATTTAGTATCTGCTCATGTTCTCATAACCCACAGAAAATTTACTGAAATGTCCTTGAAGCTGACATCACCAGCAAGTTGAGATTAAGCAGAAAAGTATGGGCTCAAAATGTGGTCATAAATATTTTGTACTTGTAAATCGGTTTTGTATGTGTAAAAAAAATTTGTGTGTGTGTAAAAAAGATTTGTATGTGTAAAAAAACTTGTGTGTAAAAAAGATTTGTATGTGTAAAAAAACTTGTGTGTACGTAAAAAAGATTTGTGTGTGGACTTAGCTAAAAAAAACCTGCAAATTACAAGTACAAATTTTGACCCTATTTTTCTTCCTTTCATCTTATTGGTCAATGTCATGTCAATCACAAATGTAACAATCCAATCAGAGAACAGATGGGTTTGGCTGTCGGAGGGGCGCTTTTTTTGAAAAATCTTTTTTACGCGCGCACACATACAAATCCTGATTTACAAGTACAAAATATTTATGGCCTGTATTTTATATAGCACTTTTACTAGTCCCTAAGGACCCCAAAGCGCTTTACATATCCAGTCATCCACACACTGGTGATGGCAAGCTACATTGTAGCCACAGCCACCCTGGGGTGCACTGACAGAGGCGAGGCTGCCGGACACTGGCGCCACCGGGCCCTCTGACCACCACCAGTAGGCAACGGGTGAAGTGTCTTGCCCAAGGACACAACGACCGAGACTGTCCGAGCCCGGGCTCGAACCGGCAACCTTCCGATTACAAGGCGAACTCCCAACTCTTGAGCCACGATGACCACATTTTGAGCCTATAGAAAAGCTGTTATGTGTATTGGAGGACACCACAGCGTATTTTATTGGGTTTTGCTGACCTCTAGAGGTCATTACAGAAAAGAGAATCTGTTTGGCATGATGATAGACACAAAAATCTGCACTCTGTGCTTTGTTTTTGTGTCTGTTCAATAGTGGTGTTCTGCAGCACATGATGGAATATGAGAGAACTCTGGCTGTCACGTACTCTCAGCCTGATGGCATCACTACTCTGGTGGAGGCAGCGGGAGAAAGGTAGAACATCTCATCCGACATCTTTAACTGACGCCTCGAAACTCACTGAAAAAGAAAACGAAGTATGTTGATTTATAGCAGCACACTGGTTCTAGCAGTTAGTGCAGGTTACAACTGAATCAGCACAAAAAGCATAGAAGCAAAAATGACTACAGATACTTAACATGTTGCCATACTCACAGCTTCCTTTGGCAATCTGTTTGCTGTGAGTAGAGAAAGCTTCTGAACTTCCCCCCGTGACATTTTTCATGTCGGGTCGGCAGTTTCAGTCTGATGTGTGTCTGGCTGTGTTTCAGTTTGCGGTGCAGCAGGCACGTGTATTACCTGGGCTGGGGTTCGCTGGCTTTGCTGGGCCTCATTGATGCCAGTGAGTGTAGCCCCACATTTGGTGCAGGTAAGCGCAGTGCGATGTCCTCATTAGGAGCCAAACTACACTGCCATAAAGAAAATGTCTTTTCTTTTTGTTTCGCATCACAACTAGTGATGGAAACTGTGTGTGTGTGTGTGTGTGTGTGTGTGTGTGTGTGTGTGTGTGTGTGTGTGTGTGTGGCACAGACTATGAAGACGTTCGAGGCTTCATCAGAGGAGGATACAGAGAGCTGAATAACAATGACGGTCCCTTAACTTCACTGGTGTGTGAAAGAAAACAATGTAATAACATCTATTTAGACAAAAGATAAACGATTAAGTAATTACTGCATCAAATCTTTCATTTCACACAATGCTCAATCAATTCACAGTGAAGTGCACAGATTCTTCTTCTACAGAAATCCTGCCACTACCAGCTAACTGCAAGCATGGAGATTTCTATTCTAACATGTCTGTGGGTTTGAAACAAGGCCACACAAAGTAATAACATGTCTGAAATCCTGTAAAATCCAATTAACATTAACATCCAGGTCTTGTTGTGTACCTTGCAATGACACATCTGTCTCTGCAGAGCAGAGACTAGAGCAGGATTAGAGTAAAATACACACTGCTGTATCTGCTCAATGTTCCTTAATCTTTTTTTTTAATTATACCGCTTGTTGGTGTTAATTAGATTTTCATATCAGTGTCGGTAGGACTTACAGGGCACTCTATCAGTCATTTAGACATAAAATTACATGTTTGCTCCAGCATTCACCTGTTTCAGGGTAGGGATTATATGAATGGGCTAATATGAATGTTGAACAGAGAACCACATCTAGGTCCCCAGTTAGGAAACATAAAGAATTCATTCTACACAGATTAGCTGACTAAAATACAACCACTTCTTTGTGTCCCCCTCGGAATAATGTAAAAAAAAATGAGCAAGATTAATGTAGAAAACAGAGAAAAATAACATATTTATAAAGCATTACAGCTAGCAAGTGCATGCTGAGGTGCCTGTTGCCACAAATTTAGCTAGCAGGTAGTACAAGGGGTTATTGTCTCTGACTAGTTCTGACTTACACTTGATTTCCTAGCATCCCAGCCTCAGTGGATCCCCAGGATCTTACAAGACCGAACTTATGGCTCCAGATGTTTTTCTACTAACATTTATGACCAGATCACCACCAAGTCATAAATGTGTATTAGCAAAATAATCTGAATGCAAGGAACAGAGCCAAACTTAGCCTGCATCATCTGACATCCTTCTACACATTCAACTGGAAAATGTGATATAGCCATACTGCTACAGTTTTGCAAACTGTGTGAATCATTAAGTCTTATTAAAGGACCCAAAATCCAAGATACAGGAGGCAAGGAGGCAGTCCAAGAGAACAAACGTTGAATTCAATTTATTTTATTTCAGTTTAAAGGGCCAAATCACAAAAACATTCACCTCAAGGCGGTTTATATTGTAAGGTAAAGACGCTACACTAATACAGAGAAAAACCCAACAATCTGATGTCCCTCTTTGCACAAGCACTTGGCGACAGTGGGAAGGAAAAAGTCCCTTTTAAGAGGAAGAAACTTCCAGAAGAATCACAAGAATATCACAATGGAAAAAAAGGGGAAACATACTATTAGTAGACACCCCGTCAAAGAGAGGCGTGTCCTATTACACTAATTAGGGCAACAGGACACAGGGTGGAAACTATCAGGGAAGAGTGAAAGTCGGAAATGAGGGAAAAGGGAGGAAGTCGAACTGACTTAAATAGATAAAGATTAACCTTGAACAAATAAATACTAAGACATGACAGTGACAGACATGGATAACACACAGAGAACCAAAAACTAGAATACATACTAAAATAAAAAAGATTCAAAGCCTCTACAAGCAAAACACCCCAAAGTTCTCTGAAGTGTAAAAACAGTAAAACTGAAACTCAAATATTGACTAAGAATACAACCCCCCCCCCAAAACAGTTGAACCATGGCACGCCTCGGTGAACAGCTTTCCACAGCTGTTATTGCTGCACGCCACCTTCCAACCCACCTCCAGCTCAGCTCCACATCTTCTGTCATCGTTGCCGTTCTGTTCTGTGCTGAGGCCACGCTGCCCTTTGCTTTCATTATAAACATGTGACAGGGCAGAGAGATGCTAATACCAGTCTTCTTCTTCTTCAGTGGTCCTGGCTATACCATAGTTTTCTCTGAAACTATGTCTTTCCTGTAGGGCCCCAAGTTCTCCATAGCACATGAGGACTTCCTACATCTGATCCTGCCGTGTCTTACTGATAAGGACACTGTGCTGCTAATCTACACGCACTCCGGTGAGACGGCGCTTTGTTTGTAACTTGGATTTTTTCCAGAGCAGCAAGTGTTTTGACAGCCTCTCTCCACAGATGACGCCACTGAAGTGGGTAACATGGCCCGCAGAGTGAGAGAAAAGACGCCCAACCTCCATGCTGTTTATCACCAGGCTGATGGAGACACAGCAGCTTCTTTACAACAAGTAGATGTCTGAAGTTTTGGAGCTGCAATATTATTGTCTGATCTTTATGGAGTCACAATTAGAGACAGAGAGGATCTAGCTAAACTAATAACACACAAACTGCACTGTTATTCACATGTCCAGCCCAAACTAAGTGTCATTTTAAAAAATAAGCTGTATTTTTCATTTTGGCAGTGACTTGACAATCACTCAGCCTACAGCGAGGTCTGTGTTCACACGTTAATCTTGAATCGTGTTTCACGCACAGTGCTGACTGATGGATTTTACAAACATGCACACTGCTGTGCGCACTGCATGTATGAACACCTGTTCAAGGTTTAACTGCATTGCTTTGACATTAGCATGAGCCAAGATGTTGTAAGACCTTGGGGGTCTTAGCATAACAACCTCCATCAGCTACAAAACTATTTCAGTTCATCAGTATTTTGGCATTTAAAAATATGAATTTCATTTCATTAGCCATTTTGTTTCAGGTTATGTACTGCTGCACTCAAAGCCCTCTTTAAAATATGTTTATAGACTGTTAAATCAGTTGTTCCCTCAGTAATTACAGGTTTTCCATGCCCTGAGGTATCACAACAAATTCTTTCTCATCTGTCAACGGAACAACATCCCGAAGTGCTCTGTTGCAAACTTGGGATGTGCCAGTGACAGCTGTTGCTAGAGGCATTATGTGTTCAGGTTCTCTTTTCTTTCCATTTCCAATTTGGGAACATCTGAGGAACACCTGGATGAAATTTCAGTACATCTTTGATCTCAAACCTGTACTTTAACCTTGAATGTCTCAGGAGTTCCTTGAGGGAATGTTTTGGATGGACTACAACTGGTAGTTTCTCTTTCCCAGTGTAAAAAAGATTAGTTTAAAGTCAGGTCTGTGGTAGTAAATCTACCAATTTAAATGAACTCTATGAATTCTGCCAGGAAGACTGATCAAATATTAAGCCAGAAGCTGATGGTTACCAAAAGGGCCTGGTCGTGGTTCAGCTTACTGTGGGACATTAGTGGGTTTGTATTGTATACAAACGTCTGACTAAGTTCTTCCAGCCTGAACCATGAGTGATCATGAATGTGTCTGGGTATAGTGTAGTCAGATGGTGTCTGGCTACAATTGTGTCTTATATGAAAATCAGATAACATATTAGCATTAACTGATACAAAAATCAAGGTTCACAACCTTTTATAACAACTGTACTTGGGTATTAATGTGGGTATCTTTTCTTTGCAGGACAACATCAAAAAACTGTGTTTATCTACACTAAAGATAACTTGGCCTCAAGAAGCACTTGTTTCAGGGACCTTGCAGCATATGGTACAGTATACACACACACTTTGACACACATTAGCCCAACAACTCACTGAAGCATGAGAAATAATATAATATTAAATGCTCTGCCTCTGCCATTATATTTCTGCCACCTTCTTTCCTTAGAGACGTTTGCACCCATATAAAGAGATAAATACAGTGTAAGGAGGGAGTGCCAAAAAAAGTAGTCTTTATTGATTCTCAATTTTTCTTGCTTCTGTAGATCTTATTTTGGATGGCAGGTTATTTTCTTTAATGTTTCCTCTCAGTGTGGTTTTTATAAATGCAGGGGAAGGAAAATCAATAACTTTTCTGTGTGAGCAGCGGGAGCTGTCCACCAAGCTGGTGCTGAACGCTGTGAGCACTGGAGCTCATGTCTTAAAGGGGAAGATATACCAGAACCACATGATTGACCTGCAGGTCACCAACACTAAACTGTACCGCAGGGCCACGCGTTTACTCCAGGTACTGTGATGTAAAACGCTAACAAAGCTTAAACACTGCATTACAGGGTGTACTGTTTGTGCTCCGTCCTTTTCATGATTACTGACTACAATTTTCACACTATGCCCTTTTTTTTAGTAACCAATAAACAACATGATGGGAACCCACAGGGCAAAGTGTTTTTGTTTTTTTAAATAAGTCCATCTTCTTACTTTTCTTTCTGTTTACGTGCAGCACATTCAGCAAAGAAGACTATAACTTACTAGAACTTAGAGGTAAATTAAGGCTTAATCATTCTATTTTCAGAAGCTTTCTACATGTCCAGAGGAAAAATGTGAGGAAGCTCTTTTAAAGGCAATCTACCGAGTAGACATGCTGACACTGGAGATGACATCCTCTGACATCACCACACACACGTGCTTTGCCAGAAACAGCACCAAGGTAAAGAGGTGATGTGCATGTTGCTGACAGATCCATACCAGAAACCCGATTTTAAAAACGGTTTCTTCTTGTCATTACCTCTTTCAGTTATACGTAAGTGCTTTAAAAAGCTTTACAAACATATGTTGAAACACATTTTAGAATTTAAAAACAACCGCTTTTTAAAATAATATTATTTTGACACATTAGCCTATAGCTGTGAAAACTACTATATTGCTGTTCATTGGTTCTGTGTAAGAGGTTGGAGGTTTTTATCAAAGTTCTTATAATCAAGAGGGTCTCAGGCTGTGATAGTTTTCTCTTGGGATTACATCACATTCACTTTTACTCATTTTACTCCATTTCAGAGGGGAAGTGCCAACTGCTGTGGCACTCCTCGTCTCTTTGCTTGATTTTGCTCGTCGTCAGATTGTCCATTGATCCAAAGATGCTTGTGACATAGAAAGAATCATGTTTAGAAGTTAACTTTGGTCTTCTTCCCCTCACCCCCAACCAGTCACAGCTGATTGCCGCCCTTTCCTGTGTCTGGCTCTGCTGGAAGCTTCTTCCTGTTAAAAGGGAGTTTTTCCTTCCCACTGTCGCTGAGCGCTTGCTAGTAGGGGTTTGTCTCACTGTTGTTGTTTTGTTGTGATTTTGCAGTATATAAATAAAAGTGAATTAAATTGAATAAATTACTTTATGTAGAATGACCCACATGGTTGAAGAAAAATCTGGTTTCTGGTACGGAAATCACATAAAGAGCTGAATAACTGAAGAGAGAGGAACTAAACGGCTGTATCATGTTGTCTCCCTCTTTTTAAGGTGGTCCCTCTGGCTTTGGTCATTTTACTTACCGGTTGGTCACTGGTGGAGGCGGAGTCACATTTGAAGCAGCAGCCAATTGTTAGGGAAGCCGTGGCTCAGTGGATGTGGTAACGGAGGCCGTTAAGTTAAAATCTTACATACAAAACACAAATTTGAGCACTTTTATCTCACTCTTAAATGAACATACTTCTGTTTTAATTTAATGTGATTGAAATAAAATAAGTAAATTAAAAAAAGTGTGTTTTCTAAGATAATGAAAGTTTTAGCCTTTTTGACTCAAATTCACTAAACTATGTTAGAAAGCCTGACACTCTATGTTCTGTAAGTGTTTTCTGGAATTTAAAGGCTCAGCAGGATCTGTCCGTGTGATGTAAGTCAATCTCAATCCCTCTTTTGCTCAACTTACTCACAGGTAGGGGATTAGCGTGGTTTATGTGTGAGTATCTTGAGAGAGAGGTTGAACAGCTTTGGAACTCCACTGGAGGAGAGCCAAACACAGCGGCGAAGCCGAGAGAGAAGGAGGTCCCAAGAAGATGAAGTGCACATCAGGTCTGGATCAGAAAGCGTTAGGACACAATTCTCAGCATTTCTGTTTGCCACCTATAAAATCACAGTGATTTTACTTCATAAACCATTTATTACTTACACTACTGGCTGTTTGATTTTGTAGCATGATGTTAACAAGTGCAGGAAAAAATGGAAGTAAAGGGCCTGAGATCATTGCACTTTATTATGTGTAAGACTAAAGCCGGGAAGTGATTAGCGTAGCTTAATAACCTGAAAGTAGAAGGACACATCTTGCTCTCTCTCATTTCTTGGGTTTCGATCTATACACAGAAACAAATTGGTTACACAATCAAAGTGTCTAATTGTCTCTAAACCGCTACTAGTGGAAGTTCCTTTCACCTGTAGCTTTTGAGTTTATAGGCGTTTAGCCATGCTAGCTGTTTCTTTCTGGTTAGATGCCATGCTAACCTAAGCTAATCACCATGTAACTAGACTTATTAATGTAAGTTTGCGTTTCAGTACTCTAAAGCTGGGCATTTTAACATGGTGGTCTGTGGGTATAACTCACTTTTGGAGCAACCTCAAGTGGCCATTAGAGGAACTGACATTTTTAGACATTTCACTGCATTTAACAATCATTTACAGATGAGGACAATTATTAAACAAATCAGGGCCTTGTGCTGGCCAGTCAGTCACATTCACTTAGGTCTTCTGGGGCAGTTTTTCACACACACCGCAAGATCTGATATCTCCGTGTTGGCGTTGTCCCAACATCATAATAACAATAGTCCCAGATCAACATCGCAACTAACCAATATGTCTGAGCATTCAATTATCTTTAGTCAAGAAGTTAACTAATGCTATTAAAAAGTATCATTAGCAAACCAACTTTAGTAACCTAAATTTGGCTAAGAGGAAACCAAACTTGATAATATATTCATTATATCAATAAAATTAATAAAGAAAACACTTCAAATTCTTACCATTTGTCTGACAAGAAAGTTTTATATAAAGAAGGGTATTTTTCTTCTTTTTTTATCCACATTGCGAAGCTATGACAACATGATTGCTTAGTTGCAATGTTGATCCTGGAACGAGGTTAACACACCAAAACAGGCATGTTAGATACACTGTTCTTCACCAGAAGCAACATATGTTTTGGGTTATGGTCATGTTGGAAAATAAAGTGATGACCCAAACACAGTTTTGCTGCTGACTGCTTGAGGTTTTCTTTAAAAATCTTCACATATCCTTTCTCCTTCATGATTCTTTCCACCTTGACAAGATTCCCAGTTCCAGACACACTGAAGGATCCCAACATCATAATACTCTCACCACCGTGTTTCACTGTGGGGATTGCGGTGTTATTGGGTTATACAGCACGAAACTAATAAGTGCCTGCCGGACACGTGGGGATTGGTTGATCAAATGAACGCTGGTATTTTCTGTTGAGAAGAGCGGAAACTTGTCAGTGTGGACATCGCACTAGGCTCCACTCAACAAGAACTTACGAGAGGCAGCGAAGACCGGATTATGAATAAGCGCCAAGAAGACAGGTACTTCGTGTGGGTTATGCTTACATTTGAGTACCAGTCATGATCAGACAGCAACAAGTTGACGAAGTTGAGAATTTCTGCTACCTAGGTAGCATTATCTCAAACGACGATGTCTCCGATCGAGATGTCTGTTCCAGGATTGGCATGGTGTCTGGAGTTACAGCACATCTGGAACTCAACTTTACTGAACACGCCGATCAAGATTCATCTGTTCAACTCCATTGCTATCCCAATCACCCTCTACGTTAGCGAGACATGGCAATCAAGAAATGCAACAATCCGTCAGCTGAACGTGCTCCAACAACGTGGCCTCCGGCAAATTCTGGGACCGGATAATGAACAAAGAGGTGCTACAAAGAGCAGACATGCTTCCCCTAGCCGATATTGTTGCTCAACGTTGATTTCGGTTTGCAGCAAAATTCCTTTGCCTACTTCTTCACCGGCCAGCCAAAGTCGCCATGACATGGTTTCCACATAGAGGGAAACGCAAAAGAGGAGGTCCTAAGACCACCTGGTGCCGGACCATAATAGATGATCTGGAGAATGCCAGCATTAACTTGGATGAAGCCGAAGCAATAGCAGCTGATCAACAACAATGGACATCAATAGCTGGCCGATGCGCTGCATGGTGTAGGAGAAACTAAAGACTAAAGAAAAGACCACTCTCCAATCTTTCTTTAAACATAATCAATGTTTCTATGACCAAAGAGCTCTAGTTTCATTTCATCTGACTAATAGACGTACTTCCACGATACATGCTTGCATAACTGACTTGGAGTTTCAGCTCCATCAAACACTGCTGAGTTACAGAAATGTGTCCAGATTATTATAGAACATTTGGAGAATTACCATTCAGTGCATTTATTTTATTTCTGTCAGTATCATTACATTCATATAATCATTTGCTCTAAGTACATGATGTTCACTTTGTGATGCTTAAGATTAGTGGACGGACAGACAGACCAGTAACAGCATAGGCACACACACCTTCTTGGTGCCACAAAATAGGAGGCTTTTGTCAAACTAAGCAGTAAGAGATAAGCGCCTCATTCTCACTGTCCTGAGCACACACTGACCGTGTGCAGTGTCCCTGCTCTAATATACAGTTGAAGAGTAAGCCTGAAGCCTTTACCAGCAGCTTTGACTCATTCCAGCTTGTTTAACAGGCTTTGTGAGTCTAATGGAGAGCCACTAACTTAAGTGTGATCTCCTCCTCTGTTTGTGTCGATCATCCTCTATGTAACCATGGATACAATAAGGCATCAGTAACACGCTTCACGCTGTTGTTCCACATGGCTGGTGTGCAAACTCCGCCAGTATCTACAGCATGTAACACACACCTAAGGAGACTCCTTTACCAAAGCAGCAGAGAAAGGTTTACATCAACCTTAAAGTCAGGCTGCCGTCTCCTAAAATTTCCTGCAGCTACATGCTGCACACTGTTTCTCCTGGGACAAAAAGCATTTATGGTATGATCACAGTAATAGGATTACATAAATACAGTGAGGTACAGCACAGTTAAAACACATTCTAACTGTCAAGAATTCAAAGATAATACATTGTTATTAAAGTACAGTATGTATTATTTGAAGGTACCTGAAAATAGAATACTTTGACATTTTGAAAAATACAGCTGTTTACTTTCTTGCTAAGAATTGACTAAGAAAACATTTATATATGCAAGCTAAATGCTAAATGAATACAAAGTTGGGAGTTAATGAGCTTTGTTTAACTTAACACTGGAAGAAAAAGGAAACTGTGAGCTAGCTTTGTTTAGAGGACAATAAAAATGACATTAGTTTATTAGACACTCTAAAGGTCAGTAATTAGCTATGCTAAGCTAAGCTAATTCTAGCTTTTAAGTGTGTACGCTTGATAGTGCTGATAAGTCTTCATACTAGCTCAGCAAGAAAGCAAACAAGCCTATTTTTCAAAAAAAAGATTCTAATGTAATCACATTACAGACTTGTATAGGTTTAAACAATTGATTTAACAGGTTAAAGATTTAAACAAGTAGTTAAATAATAGGTAAGCTAGGAAATAACCTTTTTTTAAATCTCCACGACAATGACATTTTATGACTTCCTTTGTACACTTAATGACAAGTTTTGACAACTAAATATATATATAATGAAGACATGGTTTGAAGAGCAGTAGAGTAGAATAGTTTGGGGTTTTTCCGTAGCTGCAGCGGCAGAGACCACCCTCACTAACTTCTGATGCACACCCAGTCACTTTGTTTTATAAGCAGGGTGAAATATGACAAAAAACCCACAAGTTATAAAAGACCTTCAAGGATTACTTCTAGTATGTTTTTCAGGGTAAAAAAATCAAAGCAAGCTGGGTGACCAAAACCCTGAGAATCCAGCACTGACTCAATGATACAGCTCCAAGAAATAATCGCAGAACTGAACCGATAACCCAAGTAAATACAACTGCCACGGCTGAGCAAACGTGTAGTAAATATAAAAAGCTATTCCATTCAATACAGCAATAAATCTGTCCACTGAGCACAAAACTGAGTTCTGATAAGTCACCCATAGATACCAAGTGTTAGTTTTTCAAAAATATATTCTCATATGCCTTCTTACATACAGTTAACTTCAAAAATATACACAGATCCATTATAAACACAATAAATGTACGATAGACTGGTTTCAAGTTTCATTTTGCTTTTGTAACATAAATTAGTTTTGTTCCTCCTAAACAAGATCTGGATTAATAAAGTGCTTCAAGTTTTTAAGTGAGTCTTTAAACCTATAAAAATGCCTATGTTGATCCAGTGTAGTCCCAGGAAGAGCAAATTATGTTTTTAAAACTATGTCACTAAGTTGGGGATTCACCTGGCGAATAGTCTTTGAAAGTGTCCTGAGGTGTATCCAAAAACTGTCCAGTTTGTCTTAACCCTCTTTCGGTTTGAGTTGCTTGACCTTGGCTGGTGACCGGCTCCTTCTCTGGCCATTGCTACCACCTGTGGATATGCTGTCAGCTGTTTTGGACACTTCAGTGGAGTCCACAGGATTTTGTGGGGACTCAGCGTCGATGTCCTCCAATGAGCCAGGCTGGGACTCCACTGAGGTTCTGGTGAACTGATGCAGAAGAGCACCATCCTCTCCTTTGCTTCCATTTGCCTTATCCTCTTCCTCTAGCTTGAACTCTTTAACAGCATCTTCCTCCTCATCTTTGTCTTCTCCACTCTCTTCCTTCTCCTCCGATCCCGATTTGTCAGCAGTGGTGTCGCTTGAACGTTTGCTATCTATGTCCGAGTCTTCCGCGTCTGCCTCCTCTCCCTCGGTCATGCAGGCAGCTGGAATCGCGTCCTGCCCCTGTAGGGTTAAATGAGATAACAATAAATGATTTCTGAGCAGTTTTAATTAGATGAATTGGGCATTAGAGTGCTGTAATTACATCTACAAGATGCTTACATAGTACCACCAAATTAATGTGTGAGATTAAAATGAGTTAATCAGTGCAGGGAGGTGCCAGTAAATAATATCACCAAACTGATCCTTAACTGGTTTCAGCTTCCGATGGAGGCAAAAATACACAGTTTAAAAGTATTTTTAACATGTTGAAGCTTTTTTTGTAACTGGCAAAAGCAGCATACGTCCATCAGCGGAAGCTTCATGTTGGTGCCAAACAAAACAGATTTGTTCAGGCTCTCTAATTGGATGGCGAGATTATCTTTTCCCACAGGCTTAGAATTAGTGGTGAGGATGCAATAGGTCAGATTCCTCTTTAAGGAACAGCGCAGTTTGTTGTTCAGGGACTCAGTGGTGTTTTGTATTCACTTTGTATTCTGTATTCACTTGTATTGGATTGATACAATAATTTGCGGTACTGCACGGCACTAAAGGGGAGTCAAAATTAAGCTGGAGAGTCAGTCTGATCATGTTTGTTGGCCTATTTGACATCTTTAATCAATGCGGTTAAACTTCCATGAGTGCAGTGCTGTTTTACTAACATGAAAGTGACTGTCCTTTAAAAGAAAAAAAAGAAAACAATGCTATCCTTTGTGTTATACATAATAATTACTGAATAAACTTCAGTAAAAACATGGTTCACATTTACCTGTGGCGAGGTTCTTTCCTTTTCAGATGCCTCCCCTTCCTGTTCCTCACTCGATTCACCCTCTCCTGTGTTGTCTTCCTCGTCATCGTCACCCTCTGCTGACGCACTGTCCCTCTCTGCAACCTCCTTTGACAATGTCGACTTTTCATTTTCTGTCGTTTCTGCGGCACTATCCTCCCCCTCTTCCACACTTTCACCCTCGGTGGGTTTTTCTTCATCGTCTACTCTCTCATCACTCTCTTCATTTTCTGGGGTTTCTCCTTTGCCCACTGACGCCTCTTTTACTGTGTCTTGGTCGCTTGTCTCCTCTTCTTCGCCAGTTCCTGTGTCTCCCTCATTTTCCTCTGTTTCATCTTCTCCCATCTCTTCTTCATCCTCTCCTGTTTGCTCCTCTCCCTCCTCCTCTTGGTCACTCTCATCCTCGTTTCTGGTACACTTACACTGATGTTCTTCATCCTCCCCTCCAGTTTCTGATGTCTCATCTTCTCTCACTTCTTCACCACTTGTTCCTTCTTCTTCCTCCTCCTCTTTGCTTGCATCACTTTCCTCATTTTCCTCCTGTTCATCTTCTGTCTCCTCTTCTTCCCTTGCTTTACCGTCATCGTTTTCTTTTTCAGCCTCTTCATCTTCCTCTGCAATCGTCTCCTCTAAAACAACAACAGCTCTGATGTCCTCTTTGGTTTCCTCGTCTTCCTCTTCCTCCTGGACTACGTCTAAATTCCTCCCATCGTCGTCTACAGCCGCCTGGCTTTCGTCTTCCACTGCCGCAGGCTGCGGCACGGTTGCAGGGGCTGGGCTTTTCTTCAGCTGAAGTATCTTAAGTAGGTCAAAGTCCTTCATCACCGGTGCTTCAGCCGCTAGCGGGTTGATTTTGAAAGGCCGTGCAGCCATTTTCTTTCGAACACAAGCTTCGCATGGACAGTATTCGTCGTCACTTCGCTGGTCGCTGAACTCCCCCGTCATCTCTCCGTCGCTGAGGGACTCGCTGGTCTTCACCGACTGTTTCTTCATAATCTAAAAAGACAAACAAACAAACAAAAATTAAATCCAACAATTTATGTCATCCAAGCAGTATCCTCTGCTATGAAGACAGTTTGTGGTAGATTTACCTTCAACATCTGACGTCTCTTCTCTGTTGTAGTGGACTCTCTGGAGAGATGTGTTCCTTGTGGCGGCCGAGGTGACCTACCACCTCTCCCCGCTCGACCCTGAATCTTCCTCATTTCACGTTCAATACTGCCCTGGATGCGTCGGCTCACCTCATCCCTCAGCTCGCATATCATGGTGTCCAGGATGTGACTGTCATCTAGATCCCATCGAACTTTGAACTCTGCCACTGCATTAATGTAGTGGACCATAAACTGTTTTTCAAGCTTCTTCAGAAGGTGAAGTACCCACACTGGGTCAGGGTCTTGGGATGGTCTTTTGGCCAAAGATGCTCGAAGAACAGTTGGGGGTGTGCCTGTACTAGAGTCTTCCAATGTCTCGTGCTCATTATCGGTGGGAGATTTGGAACTGTCTTTGGCAGAGGTCTTGTCTGATGACTCTGAGGGTTTGGAGCTTTCGCTTTTTTGAGGAGCTTCTTCACTTTGCACTGGTTCCTCTGCTGTGTCTGCCTTAGCTTGGTCTGTGAATGTTTCCTTGTGTTCTGTCTCAATATCTGTATCTCCTGCCATTTCATTTCCCTCTTCCTCCTCTTCTACAATGTTCTCTGCTACCTCGTGTGCTTGTAGAGATTCTCTCTCTTTTGGAGGTGTCTCATCTCCTCCTTGATTGCCATTTCCCTTCCCTGAACCTGCAGAGCCACTGCTCATATCCACCCCAGATGAGGACCTTGGTGGTGTCACCTGCTCTGAGCTACTGTTCTTGTTCTCCTTTGTCTCCTTGGCTTGGATGTTCCCAGGCTCAGTGAGCCACAGGGAATGAAGGATAGCCATTATGTCTTCATACTGCTGGCTGCGACCCTTCTGTACATCACAGCCAGGGCCCAATGAAGGCTCAATGAGCTGGAGCTGGGCCAAACAGTCCAAAAGACCCCTGGCTGATGTGCTTAGTCGGCGTCCATAAACCGGAGACACCTAAGATCAAAAAGAAAACATTCAGAGAATGTAGAATATGTTCAATGCAGGAATTATAGTCAAATTCAAATAATTACAACTGGTTAAAAAGGAATTTCAAAATCCTGAAATTAACTGAGCAGAATTTTAGGATTTCTAGATTTAACATCTAAGATCTGCAGGGACACAGGTTGCCTGTTTAGGACTGAAGGTAGTTTATGTTAACATCCACCTCTTTTCATGTCATTTTCACATATTCGTCATCAGACGATCGTGGCTCAAGAGTTGGGAGTTTGCCTTGTAATCGGAAGGTTGCCGGTTCGAGCCCCGGCTTGGACAGTCTCGGTCGTTGTGTCCTTGGGCAAGACACTTCACCCGTTGCCTACTGGTGGCGCCAGTGTCCGGCAGCCTCGCCTCTGTCAGTGCGCCCCAGGGTGGCTGTGGCTACAAAAAGTAGCTTGCCATCACCAGTGTGTGAATGTGTGTGTGAATGGGTGGATGACTGGATATGTAAAGCGCTTTGGGGTCCTTAGGGACTAGTAAAGCGCTATATAAATGCAGGCCATTTACCATTTATTTGGCATATCTAACCCAAAACGTATAACTTCTAAATTTGAAAATTTGCATGTTAATTATGTAGGGTCAAATGGATCATGAACATGGTACATTTCCTAGCAAGTCAAGTACTTTTGGTTGCTCACTTGCTCACAAGTGATTGCCACAAACGTGGCAGTTTTATTCCAGATGCCTCTGGTGATGCAACTTTCAGAGGTGGGACCAAGTCATTGTTTTGCAAGTCTCAAGTAAGTCTCAAGTCTTTATCCTCAAGTCTCAAGTCAAGTCTCAAGTAATGTCAGGCAAGTCAGAGTCGAGTCTCAAGTCACTGGTGTAAAAGTCAGAGTCAAGTCACAAGTCTGAAACTTTGAATTTCAAGTCCTTTCGAGTCTTTAAAAAAAAACAAAAAACGAAAAAATAATGTTGCAGTTATGCTAAATGTAAATATTAGACCATGTAATTTTAAAATCTGTGTTTTTCTCAACACATGACAAAATAGTGAACTTAGAAAATATACACAAGTTGTGAAATTGCACCTCTTTAAAATGCAGCTCAATTAAACTTAGCTCCAAGAATAATTTTCACCGACAGTTCTGAGATAAGCTGCATGTTATTCTTGGATGCGGTTGTAGGACCGGCTTTAAAATCGCATGACAAAAATATCATACACATTAAAAAAAAACTGTATCACCAACATAGCCTGGACAACATTTGCTAGTTAGATGAAGTCAGCTATCTCATTGTAGCATATTTACATGCATATTTATAATCATACGGTTCTTGGAGTGAGTGCATACACTCATGAAGTTTAGTAACTTCAGGTCACTGCAACAAGCCCAGGTACAGTTTACCGACGGATGGGTGCAGGACCTTGAAATGCACCGTGTAGAACGAAAGACCATCGTACGTATCATAAGTTTACCAGTCTCACAAATTGTCGTCATAAATACACATTCCTTAACCGTTTATTAATATAACCTTTGAGCTCAACGGTAATTAATTAGTAGTGGAAATAATTTCTGGTACCCATCACAGAAATGTAGCAGTGACAATAATACTGTATGCTGTAATCGTACTGGGCAATTAGTGATACAAAAAACCTGTTTTATCCTGTGAATAAAAGTATATGTTTTTTGTCAGTGTACCATAATAACAGAAGCGAAACGCAATATTGTGTCAGGACAATTCACTATTTATGCACAATAAATAAAGGAGCATAGCGCGACAATTTCTGTTCAGCGCCAGACTTGCTTGTAACCTATATCACTAATTATGTTATGAAAATGACGTATTAACTACTAAAAAACACTGACCTTCGTGTAAATGCTTGGAGCAGACTAACCTGTGAGCTGGAGTGTTCTGGGACGTTATATTTGGTCTTAGAATGGCTGCAATCCAGGCCATCCGTCGCCTCTTTGTTACCTTGGAAACATGGCTGAACAATTTCTCTTCAACGACGTAATCCGATAACAACCGATCTCTTTACCCGTCGGCTTCCCGTGGCTGTCATGCGACCGGCTATTGCAGTTAATGATACAACAGCTTCTTGCCATTTTTGTGTTTCTTTTTATCGCTGTGTAACTGATTTTAATTGAAAGCCGCTAGTACCGCTTGCCACGAGTTCCCAGAATCCTTTGCGGTTCTACCCGTGAATGATGTCACATTTTCAATCTCTATATAATATGCATGTTAAATTTTATATTTGGGGTAAAATATCAAGTCTTTTCAAGTAAACCGGTTCAAGTCCAATTCAAGTCCCAAGTCATTGGTGTAAAAGTCCAAGTCAAGTCACAAGTCTTAGAACATTTTTTCAAGTCAAGTCTAAAGTCATAAAATTAATGACTCGAGTCTGACTCGAGTCCAAGTCATGTGACTCGAGTCCACACCTCTGGCAACTTTTTATCTATAGCTCTGTATAGCAGAATAATTTTCTGTCACAAAAAAGTAACTGGCTTACCTCGGGCATACTCCTACATCGACCCAGAGAAGAACTTAGAAGAACTTTCATCACAGCTGCAGAAGACTGCCAGCTTCTAGGCAGAGCCTCACTTTGTAATAGTAGAGCACTAGGGCGACCAGAAGTCCCCTCTGCATCTCCTGAAGTTGGATCTGAGCCCTTCTCCTCCTGTGCTATCTCACATTTAGCTTCATCTTCTTTCTCTTCATCCTCTTCAGGGTCACCTTTTTCCTCCAATTCTAACTTCTCACCTTCAGGACTCTCCTGTGCTAACTCTCCTCCAGGCATCTCTTCCATTTCCTTTGGCGTCAGCTCTTCCTCATTAAACTCATCGCCAAGTGCTAGCATGCTGCTGTTAGCAGGAATACTTCGCAGCCAGTCACTAACAACCTCACTGGGGGACGTGTTGGGCAAACAGGCAGGTGTCAGTTCCTCTCTTTTATCCATCTGATTGCTGCGTCTTTGACACATTCCACTTTTCTTGCTCTTGGACTTGTCACTGGACTTACTGGCTTTAGATTGTCGGCTGCATGGGCGTGCTGCAGCCATTGTTTCCTTTAGCAAGTCAGCAGCAGACAGAGATTGAGACAAAGTGCTTTCACTGCATGTCTCTACTTTGCTGTGTAAGGGACAAGGGCTTGAGGACTTGATAGGGGTTCCTTTCTTCAGAGAGCTGGCCATTTTGACACTACCACAATCGCTCCCTGTGCTAAATCTGGACTTACATTCGACCTGATCTTTTTCTTTACTCTGATCTGAAGCTAAATCTGCCGACTCAGCCCTGAGGCAACAGGGACTTTGGGAGGAGATTACTTTACTGTATGCAGTGTCTTCTTCCTGTTTGGCCTCACTAGCTGCTCTAGGGTTTTTTTGATTTTCCGTGCCATTATTTTCTGAGTTTCCAGGAACTGTTTTTGCTGTTGTGTTTGCAGAGGATTTTATCTGGACTTTCGCACCTGCTAATGACATTGCAGATGAGTTCCTGCTGTTGCTACTATTTGTCACTGGAGCAGACTTCACATTTTCTGTTTCACTGCCATTTCCAAGTTTGGTCGAGCTAGCATTAGCATGTTTTTCTTTAGACTTACAGTTGCAAGAAGACTTGTTAGACCTGCTGCTTCTGACTGAAATTGTACTTGCTGCTTTTTCTGTCTTTTGCAATCCATTTTCTTCACCTGATGGAGTTTCAATAGTTGGGATATCCACTGCTGAACCCCTCCTCCTGCCAGTACTGTTGGATTTTTGAGAAACGGTGGACCCCGTTATCTCCACATCCTCCTTCATGGTGGAAACCTCTGGGCTTTTTGGGAGACTGGGAGTTGAGGTCTTTGCCTGGCCCTCGTCATTGCTCTCAGCACTTCTGTGAACACAGACGCTAGACTTCCCACTGTCTGAGGCAGATGTTTCTTCAGGTAACCCAAGAGAGACCGATTCTGTTGAGTTCTGACTCAAAGGATGGTCTGTGCCTCCTGATGACACGGCACTGCCTGCTCGCTCAGAAACATTCTCACTTTTCACCTTGAGCTTCACCTCTTTATCCTTGTTCTCCTTTTCCGTCTTTGCCTCATCAAATTCTGAAGTGGCTCCACAGCAGCATCTGGATTTGCCAGATTTAGCAGAGCCCGCGGAGTGAACTGACAAGACACTGGGCCCTCTTGTGTCTCCAGCATCAGAGCCATTCAACAACTGCTGCACAGGAGACTTACAACTTTTGGTGGATGCGGCTGAAGCATCGGGAGAGCGCATCCGCGGCGAACGTGTTCGCTTAGGTGAAAGAGTTTGTACATTAGATTTAATTTTTGGTGCACTCTCATTTGTTACCTTTTTGTCTCCATCCGCTGTTTCAATAATAGAAATATCAGTTTTTCCATTACAATTTGACTTTTGAGACACTGTAGATGAAACATTTGATCTTCCTGATGCAGCACTTGGTGCTCTCTCATTCGTCACATTTTCCTCGTCATCAACTGTAGGCGTTTTAATGGTGACAACATTTGCACTTGAATTTGATTTATGAGAAATGTTGGACCTTACTGAAGATTTTGACTTGGCAGACATGACACTTTCCACCCTCTCCTGATTTTCTTTAGCTTCACTTGGAACTGGAGATGCAGTTGTGTGATTTGACTTCTGGGACTTGGAGGACTTGGCACTAGGGGCTCTGTCCACCATGTCATCTCCCTCTATCTTTGTACTGTGAGACTTTGCAGAGGAAGCTGACTTATGGGATAAAATACTAGCAGTTCGCTTCTCAGCTTTTTCTGTTTTGTGTACTATTTCGGAGTCTGATTCTGTGTTTTGATTACTGTCAGATTCATGAGATTTGGAGGACTCTGCACTGGGTGTCCTCTCATTATTTACCAGTTTAAGATTGTTCTTTTTTTCTTCAGCTTCATCTGCTGTCTTTGAGCTTGAACATGTCACCATTTCATTGCCATCACATTTAGACCTGAACGACTTTGTAGACTTAGCAGACTTGTTCGATTTAACTGACGTGCCAGACATTTGACTTGGTGCCCTTTCTTCTCCCTCTCCCCCAGGCTCTGAGGCTTTAGTGGACTTATGGGATTTAATAGACTTTGCAGACAGGTTGGACTTTGATGACATTGCACTTGTTGGTCTTTCCTCTACCTCTGTTTCTGTTCCTTTTCCAGTTACCTTTATGGTAGCTTCAACTCCTGTCGCTTTTACACAGTTACTGCAAGTCGACCTCTGAGATATGCTGGACTTTACAGAAATATTTGAGTTTTTTGATCTAGCACTATCAGGTCTTTCAGCCTTTTCAGCCTTTGCAAACACATTTGACTTCACAGAGAGGCTACTGGGAGCTCTGTTGTTTGGGTCACGCTCTTCTACAGCTGGATTGTCACTTTGGGATGTGCCTTTAGCTCCTGACTGACAGGTGGAGTTACGAGACTTGACTGATGCATCAGTCTGAGCTGAAACACAAGATTTGGCTGACAAGGAGCTGACTGCTCTTTCTACAGTGTTCTCGCTGACTGCTGTCTCCCTTGAACTGATATCAGGAGCTTCACTTGTTTGTTCAGACTTGCTGGACTTTGCAGACTGATTTGACACTACGCTGAAGCTTCTCTTGTCCTCTTTTTTTCCACGAATATCAGCGCTGCCCTTACAGCCAGAGTTGTGTGATCTATTGGACCTGTGGCTTGTAGCTGAAGTAGCACTGGGAGCCCTTTCTTTCTCTTTTTGTGTTGCCTGAGGACTGGATGTTCTAGACATGGCACTGGATACTTTGCCCTCCAAGATATTTGGTGTGGCAGAGAGGCGTCCATTATTGGTGAGGTTGGTTTTGTTGGATTGGGTAGAAACATCTGAGGCAGCATCATCACTGTTAGGAAGGGGAGAGGCTTGGTTGGAACGATTGGTTCTCTGTGATTCCCTGCCACCGGAAACAGAATCGACCTTGCGTTTGCAGCCCCCGCAATTCGGACACACGCTGGAAGTCGCTGACTTTTGAGAGCTTGCTGAGAGTCCTGTGTGATTTGACAAGTCACTTACAGCCCTCTTTATCCCTTCATCATCATCACAGGCCCCTCCTTCCTCTGATTCTGACATCCTGGTTACGCTTATTTTAGATGTGTTGCAAGGGACTTGATCTACCTCATCTGGGCCAGCTGAGCAAGCGGCAGCTCCTCCACAGAGACAGGAAGAGGCTGCAGACACTGCCCTGCTTCCTAGCTCTTCCTGCTCCTTGTGTTTGGTAGAGTGGAAAGAATTGGCTGAGACGTCATTTATTGGCTTTTCGTGCAGTTGAGTTTCAGGGGTTGGGGACGGTTCATTGCTATGGTAACACCGTGAGATGCTTGGTGGCAGATCATCGTCCTCATCATCTTCATCTTCTTTCAACGACTGAAGGACATGTGAGGAGCTGCTGACTGCTGATGGCGGGCGATCTTCTTCGTCTTCAGCTGACTTTCTTCTGAGTGGTTGAAGGTTACTGTCCGCGACAACCACTTCACTTCGACTGCAACACCGGCTCACCTTGTGTACCTCAATATGGGTGTCCCCATCCTGCTCTACCTCTAATCTGTGCTCAACCTGCTCGGTTACACACATTTCCTCCTGGACCAGTTTGCTCTGCTCTGAACCTGAGCCACCCCCGCAGCTGGAGAGCCGTGCTCTGCAGCGCACCACCCTTCTTGAATTGCACGATGAGGAAGAGCTAGAAGAGTGCGTATGTCTCATCATACTGTGGGTGTGGCTGGGTGCATGTGGGGGTGGAACAGGAGCTGATTTATGGCTGTGTGCAGGGTTTTCCCATAAGTCGTAATGCTGTTCATGCCTCTGATGGCAACACGGGCAGCGGTTCCCTTCCAACTCGCACTGCAGCGGCTGGCTGGAATAGTCCACACCGTACTGATCAAAGGATGTTGAATCAGGGTCAGAACAACTTTCTGACTGGCCCTGCTGGAGATAATGAGGCTGAGCCTGACTTAGAGGGCAACATTCATTGCTCAGAGATGGAGATTTTTTAATTTGAGTGGACCACTGGAGGGTCTCGTCATTCTGGAGGTGAAAACGCACCCTCATCTCCACCGAGAGGCTGCCATCTTTATTTACCAGAACACGCTTTTCAATGTCATCATTCATAATGGCTGGCTTTCCCTGGGGGCATGCAGTGACACCATTGCCATATGACTTTTCAGAGGAAAAAGAGAAACGTGCCGAGCGGTTTGAGGAATCAGAACGAGGGTGAATGATGCTCTTTTTGGTTTCCAGACCAAAGTTAACTGAAGGGAAAGAGAAAAGTACAATATTTAACAAAATGTATTCCCTCTTTTTCTTGTACCTTTTAAAACTTGTCTGTTGTTAACTTGCCCAGTTGTCTAAAAAACTCACCATTTTTCTTGCTTTCATGTCCTTCGCTGTACTCACTGGCTCTGGATTGAGCTCCATGAGGTGGGGACCTTATTCCTTGAGTAGCAGGGGATCGTGCCCCATTTCCAGGAGTCCGGGGACCCAGACCAGGGAGTTTCTCTTCTGAAGTTTTCCTAATAAAGTTTATCAGCAAGGGGCTGAAGGCTTCCCGGCCAACACATACCAGAACACCTGGACAAGTCATCAGGCTTTGAATGCTGTCAATCTGGAAACAATTCACTAGAGTCAACAGTTTTCACTAAAATGAGCAACCTTTGCAAAGTTTTACTATGCAAATTCAAATAAATATAACTTTTTACCCTGCGTCCCTCTACAGTGTAGATCTTGCGGACATGAAACTGCATCACTTCGGACACCTCATCTAAAAAAGCTCTCAGGCTCCTGGCTGTCCTTCTGCTCAGGACCACGCTCCTCCTCATCCCCGGTTCGCTGTTCTTCACGAGCAAGATCCGTCGCTGTCTGTAAGGCATATGCAAATGGCCAGGTGGTGTTGCGGATGACGTTTCAGGCCTCTGGGGCCTCCGGTTGTGATGGTACCAGATGCCTGAGTGTTTGTTGACCAGCTCCATGTTTACTGGCTTCGCCTGGCGTCGGTCAGAGCAGAGGTAGCAGCCACCATCCTGGAGCTGCTCCAGGTGTTTGATGGTGTGAGTGCCACGAGGGGTGGTCACAGTCCGCACACCAAATGGCAGCGGCACCTGTGGACAAATTGTACATAAATATCAAATGTGACTGTTAATCTGTCTCTATCTCGTATCCATGTATTGCTCTCCCTACATTGTATAAAGCACTGCTGATCAGGACAAGCGCCGTTTTAGCCACTTAACATCCACCCTAGATGACCCATCTAGGGTTTGTTAAATATCCACCCCATTTTGTAGGATTTTCAGTTGTTTCGAACATGTAATGACAAAATAATTGGGATTTAATTTGAAATCAACAGTTCCTGAAAAATTGCTTATTTATCATGTGGCTAAAGCAAAACCCAACCATAACCTTTGATTAGCGTGGATTTTAAGAGGTGAAAAGACCTGCATCAGTAAAGTCAAAGCCACATACAGCATGCCGCACCTTATATCTTAGTGGGCCAGATGAGTGAAAGTATTTGATAAATGTATAAAATGAAAGAAAATGTTGTGGTAGTTCATTGCTCAGAATGTCCTGTAATTATAAAGCATAACATTTTTGTTAATTGACAGAAAATGTCTGTTCTTGTGTTTTTGTTTTTTTTTTTACACTTTGATATTACTTTTGTGTCATATGGATGGCCATGAGAGAGGTCTTTATCAGTAGGAAATGCTTAAATACAGTTAAAAGTCTAAAATTTATACATTTATATCCTACTTCACATTTTGCAAAGCTGTCCAAGGGTCATATTGGAGTCTTTTACTCTTCAGTTTTAGTCCCCAGGCCTAATGTTTGACACCCCTGACCTATATGCATGCATCTAAGCATTCAGCTTCAAAAGAAGTCTCTACTACAGTTCATCTAACCTTTTGAGAAAGGTCGTCCAGCAGGGCGTCAAAGCATTTGAAGCTGCGCTTGTGGATGGCCATCCTAACGCCCCCAAACTGGCTGTCACCACTTTTGTAGAATGTGATCCGTTTGGCTGGGGTGGTTGAGCTCACGTGAGCGGGGCGCGAGTTGGAAGGGGGCGGGGCAGGGATGGGGAAGACATGTTTAAATGGGGGCCGGGGGTTCCACAGCCCTGTCTGGACCGAATGCATGCTGTGGTCTCACATACACCTGGGAAACACACAAAGATAAGAACATGTTTATTTTTTTCTGCAGGTTTCTGTTTATTTTTCTGATCCCGTGCGTGCTAATCACACTCACAAGAAGAACAAGTCTTAATCAGGATGATTAATGGAGGATTTAGGACAGGACATCCGCTGAAAGGACTAGCTGACATTGGTGGTAAAAACCTTCTGTATCGTTTACAACTAAATTCTAATAATAAGCTGTCACTTTTCCAGCTGCTGAGGTGAATGTCTTGTTTCTGTAATGATTTTCTAGAAAAAGACATTTACCTGGATTCCCTCAAAATATTCTGTGCAGTTCCCCCCCCCGATCATCGATGATCATTGATCAGTTTCAATTTGTTTTTTGAATAAGAACTGCAAATCCTACAAAAGTTCAACAAAAACAAGCCACATACTTTACTGTGAATTAACAAGATAAACTGTAGACAAATGCTATATTTACATGGATGTTAAAGGCGGAGCTTCGCACAGGGAGCTATTTTTATTAGTGTGGCCTAGGACACGTATAGAAATCCTGTTTGGAACAGACGTAAAAAGTTTCTGCCCTGCTTCTGGAAAGGCAGCATCAATCGGCTTACATAACATATGCTGAGTATTTCAAACATTTAGCTTTTTTCTCTAGTTTTACAACACATGGATGAACATAGATGAACACTGCAAATAACTACTTGTTAGTTTTGAGTTTTGATGGGTTTCAGGTCTGTATCGACACACATATTAGCTTATATAATAGTTATAAAAACCACAAGCTAATTTCACGTGTATGTTGAGAGATCTGCTGTGGTGACCCTTAAATCCTTCAGCATCAAGACAAATATCACTTTTTCTACTCAGTGCATGTGGTCACAATATGCCTCTTGATTGTTTCCTGTTATGTCTTCTGATGGGCTTAGCAGGCTTTTAAGTCTCACGAGGCCAAATCAGTGTTGACACTGCTTCTTAATGCCTCTTTAGCTCAGTCTTTCCTAATAACATTACATCAAACATATCATTTAAAATTCTATGAAGGGCACAGTTAACCCAACATTTAGGGACATGTTAAACAGGTTTTCAGTGTAGAACAGCATAAATAAAACTGACTGTAACGTTTATTTTACACTTGAAACTAACTCAGTCGATCTCATATAACTTATTCTGGCTTTCTTCTGAAATGGACAACAAAGTTGCTTTTGATGTGCAACATTAAAAGCAACCACTGAAGCTGTGGGAAAGTGATTATGCTGTGGGACTAAAGGAAGGTCTTAGGCTTACAGCTATGCTGACGTCCATGTGCACTAAGCAAGTTTTTCCAGCAAAGAGGCAAGTTAATCCAAGCAAATGTTAGCTTAGAGCTTTCAGACACTTAAACACATTCAGTTAGTGTTTCATTATCACCCTCTGCTTCTTTCTCACTGCCATTCAAGATTTAATGGAATCAATATATCAGATTTTAGAAGTGGAATAAAGGAATATTTTCACTTTCTGTTAATCTCATCTAGTTTCTTCAGTGCTATTTTTAGACTTAATGAATTACAAATACTTCTTAAAAACTATTTTTTTTAGAAGCACACCAACAGTCCCAGTTTATATATGACAAACAAAGCTTAAAGTTCTCACATTTAAGCAGAATAAATGACTCATCTGTTAAATGAAAAGCTGTGGACGGACTGCTCGATGGACTGATCATTTCATATCTAACACACAGATTTTTCTTTCCAATACAAAACTCTGACTCACACTAGCTTTTAACACATTACACTGAAGCAAACCATTAACAGAAAACAGCATTGTAGGTTTAAGCCTTTTCAACATAAAGCTCTATTATTTTCCCATGAAAGCATTATTATAGCAGATTTAATGTTTTTGCTCGTTTAGAATCTTTTTCAAATGATTTGAAGATGCTTACCGTTGTCGTAAAAGAACAGGAGAATGACTGCTGCCACTAATTAACAACCACTTTTTCCATGCCATATGTATTAGTTGCACTACTCACATATTCAGGAAGCATGGTCCAAAGAGGTATGGAAAAGCTGAAGAGAAATTTGTGGATATCTAGTCAGACCAGGAGACTGGTTTGCAGTAATTGTGCAAGTGTGTATGGTGGCGATCCCCGAGTGTACATATAAAGCAGAGTCCCTGATTCCACTCTCCAGCTCTCAGGGTAAAATGGCAGATGGACAAGAGGAGGGAGGAAGGGAGTGGGGGTGGAGAGAGGAGAACTGAGGAGATAGGAGAAGACAGGAGGGGTGAGGCTAAGGATAGAATGAAAAGCCTGCTTAAGAACCTCTGTGTGTGTGTGGGAGAAGGAGGGGTTGCTATGGTGAGGCCAAGACGTTAATAAGGCAAGTGATGCTCTTATGCATGCCGCACCTGAGCAGCAGAAGACACATATGCTAATTTGTAGTTGTGAGGTTGAATTATTGAGATTGAATAGAAATATTAATAGGCAAGTGGCAAATACATCAAAGATGTTTAGATTGTTAGTGAAATTATAATTTGAATCATGTCAACGTGAAAGTTACAGGACGCCGAAGGACAAAGTTAGGTAGATAAAGTCTTAAAAAAAGTCTGACTTAGATAAAGTCAGATAAAGGCAGTCGGTTTTCACATTCTGGTTGCAGAGTTGGTGCAGAGGCCACAGGTTTTAGCACATATAACGGCCTCTATCTGTGTCTTCCTCACACACAGGGATCTAGTTGGAGGATTGTAATTACACACAGCCTGTCTAACAGCAGGGTTCCTCCTGTCTAGAAACCCCTGAAACCACCAACTGCTGCCCTGGCAAAAAAAACCAACCCTCTAATACTACAGACAGAGTAGCAGTAAATCTGTAATGAGCCAATCACGACCAGCTGATTGTCTCAGTCTGGCAAAGCACCATCTCACAAAGCCAGAAGGGGAAAGAGCAGCAGCAAGCCCTAGCACAAAACCAGCACCAGAGACAACAGTTGTGGCATTGATCAGGCTGGACACAGCATGAAAGGAGGAGCTGAAGGGCAAGGTGGGTTGCACAGCAGCTTGCAGAAAGAAAAAAAAAGTATTTGTCTAGTAGGTATTCTAAATGATAAATATGAATGTTGTGTATTGCTTTCCCAGTGTGGGTAAGCGGATGGCATATTATTTATATCCACAGTTCTTATTCCATTATCTTTTCTTTTAGTGGGATTAACGGTCTATATCTGTACCTAAAGAACACGTCCAAACTTAACAAGCTCTTTAGCTGCTATTGGCTCCGATAATTTCAACAGCCTGTTGCCAGCTTTTTCATATTTTAAGTTTTTTATTATCTGGAAAAGAACTGCCCACTGTGGTCGGGAGATGGTACTGACACGAACGAAGAGGGTGAACAAAACAGTGAGCGAAAAGAGGCTCACACAAACATGCATATAAAGCGTGTTAGAGACAGAGTGTTAATTATTTGCGGATTCATAAGTGACGCTGGCCACATTACAGGTCATTTTAGCTGCTGTTTGCATATGAATATGATTGGAGCACATTCAAATATCGCACTGGTGGAAAAGACTTTCACTAAAGACACTTGATGTTCCAGGTTATGGTTGCCTAGGTAATCCTCTAATGTATTTACTATTAGATCACCAAGCTTAATCACCCCCATAGAACCTTATAGCATTGGCATATGTATAAATGTATACACATATTGTTTTCTTCTTGTCATAGGTGGGTATTTGGGTGTTAAAATACTATATGTATACTTATGATGCCAGCATATAGCAGGACAAGGATTATAGTTATTACTTAAAGTATTGTTATAAATACTATTAGCATTTATTTTATCCCATCCTTTAGTTGATCAGTGAGGCAACATGGTTAAGCGTCCTCACACAGTGGGTCTTTGCACCAACACATTCTCATCCCAAAGTGTAACATACCGACGCTATGTGACAAATTGTCAGTATGTTACGCTTTCAGTCACCACATCCGTCTGTACGTTACGCGTTCGGAAACGTGAGAACCTTTTGGAATGAATCAACACATGTACATTTATTTTACTTTCTCATCATTAATAGCTCTGGAAAACACTATCTAATATGATTAAGACTGTGTTTATCATTAGGATTAAGGTTAGGGTTAGGGCTGGAATACACGGCTGGAATGTGTGTTACTGCCGGGAGTCTATTGGATTGCATCCACAATCCGGCGCGTATCACAGGGACGCGGAAAGTTACCTTTCGTGTTCCTATGGGACGCCTTGGGACGTGACAAATTGGCGGTATGTTGCACATTGGGAATGAGAATGGCCCCCTTTGCACACTGTTCCTACTAAACTCCTGTTCCGATGATTGTTTTTCTGTTAGTGTTGCTGTTGTAAGTCTGCGATTTCCTTGGTCTGGATATGTCCTATTTAGCTGCTGACCTGATTTGTTTATAATAATAATTTTAAGAAAATATACATGTGGTCAAGCTAACGTCATCAACAACAACCTCAATCTCTTATTCTTTTCAAAACACTCTTCCCCAGCTGACAGTGTGGAGCGTAAGATGTGTATACATTAGCCAACAGGTGCCATGTAAACCCCACGATACCCTTTGAATGGCAGCCACATCACGTTTATACACAAGCAGAAAAGAAATGAAGCAAGAGACAACCCCCCAAAACAAACAAACAAACAAACAAACAAACAAACAAACAAACAAACAAACAAACAAACAAACAAACAAACGGGAAATACAAATGGAATGAATACATGTAAAAATTAATTAAATGGAAAAGTAAATAAATTAAGGAAATAAAAAAAAACCATCTGAAAACATCAATTTAAATTTCTGTATACATTTTTTAAAATATATATTTTATGTTAAGTGCCATTAACGGTAAACTGTTTAAAATTAATCATCATTTATATCGTTTGGCTGTTATTACTCAACAGGTTGGTTTGTTACAGATGTTTAATCAGAGCAGTGTTTGGTACCGCTGTTCAGGGGCATGCTGTTTTGTAGAGTTAAAAATAATCTCTAGTAAGAGCAGAAGAAGAAAAACAGAATCAAACACGTCTTTTTACACTTTTAAAAACACCAGGGACATTTATTATTTCCATCTACAGGCTCAAAATGTCCTTGAAATATGTCTTGGTTTTATAGAAGTGTCTTATTGCATAAGTAAAACTTATGTAACTCCTCATTTCATCAATCTGTATCTGCTTCACAGCCTTAATGAGAGACAGAGGAGAGGTAGGTGGCCCTCAGGGGGATTCTGGGTAGACAGGAAGTCAAGGATGAGTAGTTCTGGTGCTGACAGGAACCTGAGGCATCACAGTGAGGCGTCAGGATGCTGCTCTCTGAGAAAGTTTTGGTACTAATGTGTATTCCTAGAGGATAAATCAAGCAGTTCATCACCTGTGCGCTTTGCCTGATGATGTTACACATGGGTATAGGCTTCAGTCCTGCAGGAGTACTTTCCTTTGTGATATGAACACAGTGAATCACTGAATTTGAACATGTTCACCTTAAAACTGACTGAAAACGGAGAGAAGTTCTGCTCTTGCTCTTGTGTGATCACTTCAGTCAGCAGAAAAAATGAAAATGAAAACAGAGCAGAGATTATTCTGCATGCGGTGGCCTATTTTTGGAAGTGCGCTCACTCCTTTGCTCAATCCCTTTTGTCTCTTATCCTATAAGCAGGTATGTGATGACCTTATTCCCACAACTGGACCACATACACAAACACAAGCCTTCTGGATATATGAGCACTTGCTCATTGGGGTTTGTATTATCACTAAAATAAATTAAATTAAATTGAAAACACACAAACACAGAACCTTACCACAGATGTTCAGCTTTGTCTAAGTTCAGAGAAGCAGGTGTTCGTAAAGCAACAGGTGAGAAAGAGAGGTTCATCTTACCTGTGAGGAAACATGCTGGAAGGAACCAGTGAAGATCAGTGTCCGAGTGTAGATCCCGATAAAGAAGCAGTTTGATAACAGAGTGATAATAAAGTCAGGTGTGGTCAGCGGCAGACAGCGCCGCGAGCTCGCTATCTGAGATTTGAGAAGTGAGCACAGGTTGCGGGCGCGCGCGTTCACGCACGCTGCAAGTCCGCGGCATGAAAACCCGGAAGTACAGCGATTAAGACTTTCAAAGTAATGACTTGAAAGCCTTTCAGTAAAAACGGTAGGATTGAACGTAAACACACAAACTGCACAGCTCGGAAAATCAAGTCCAATCAGTTTATTTATTGTGAAAGCAATAAAGTAACAAGACTCATTTAGATTGGCTTTTAACTAAATTTGTGTTGAATATTTGATTGTGCTATTTTATGTATATCAGTTTTATATTATTGTGAAGCACTTTGTGGTTCTTATCCTGTGAAGAGTGCTATATAAATAAATAAAGTAAAGTAAAGTAAGGACAATACAGGAAAAAAACATAAACTAAACTAAATAAAAGAAAAACACAAGGGAGGTACGATCTGTCTTCGAGTGAGCTTCAAAGATGTTGAGTACTGGTGAGGTCCTACTTTGAAGAGGAAGACTGTTCCAAATTTTAGGTGCAACTAAAGAAAAAGGCCTGATTTAAACAACCAGAACAACTAGAAGCATCTAGTCAGTTAACCTTAATGATCTAGGAGTGTGCATAGAGTTAAAAGTTCAAAAATGTAAGAAAGTGCTGATCTATTTTTTGCCTTAATAATAAACAAAAGGATCCTAAAATTCTGGAAGGCACTGGCATTACTTTCTCAAAATCAGCAGATGAGAGAATTGTCTTAATCTTTGCAAGGGCCCTCAGCTGGAAGAAACTGGCTTTAACAGCAGAATGTATTTGTTTGTTAAAAGTGGAGCTGCTAGGGTGACAGTTTAGCTTAGTAGACGAGCAGGCGTAGCTCTTGCTTGCACACAGTAATGCACAGTGATGAGTCTACACAATGTTGCCTTGGGTTTAATAACTGAAGGGTCCACCCTAAAACTATTGTATTATATTGAAATCTGTGAAAACTGATTATGAATGGTTCTTAATCCTAATTAGGACGCTTATTTTGTATGTAGATCTTTGCATTACAAAATAAAGCACCTTGAGGTGACTGATAAAACTGAATTGAATTAAAGGCAAAATTGTAGTGTGTACGCAACTGAACTGAGCTCTGCAAATGTGAAAAGGGGTAACTACATTTGCACCAAACCCTAAAGGTTTGATGGTAAAAATCGCACCTGAAATAA